AGGTGGGGAGGGGGGAGGAGGGAGATAGATGGGGTAAAAGGGGTCAAATATGTGGTGACAGAAAGAAATCTAACTATGGGAGAGGAACACACGATGCATTATATATATGCCTTACCGTTAAATTGTATACTTGAAACTTACTGGATTTTATTAATCTATGTCACCAAAAAATAAAATAAATTTAAAAATTTGAAAAAATACACCCCATTAACGGAATGAAGGGGGAAAAAAAACCCCACATAATCATGTCAATTGACATTATGCTAGGTGAAATAAGTCAGGTACAAAAGACCACATATTGTATGCTTTCCATTTATATGAAATATCCATAATAGGAAAATCCATAGAGATGGAAAGCAGATTAACAGTTGTCAGTACCTGGGTCAAAAGATGAATAGGGAGTGACTGCTTACCAAGTATGGGGTTTCCTCTCAGAGTAATGAAAATGAAGTAGATACCGGTGATAGTTGCACAGCATTACAAATAGTCTAAATATCACAAAATAGTCTAAATATCACAAAATTTAACTACTTAAGAGTAGTTAAAATGGTATATTTTATCTTACATGTATTTTATCACAATAAAAAATCATGTTACTAACCTGAATAGAAATTCTTCAAATTATATATCTATTTCTAGTACATGTTGAAATAAACACAAAAGCATTAAAACACAAAAGCTAATTAGTATGCTCTCTGAAATTATCACACAGACCCCCACTGGTTTAAAGGTTAAACAAGATGTCATTAAATAGAGACTCTGGTTCATCTCTCAGCTCTATCACTTATTATTTATGTGATCTTAACATCTTTAAATCTAAGATTCATTATTACACAATGAGTATAATATGAGTACCTGCCTCACAGTTTCTTTTGAATATTAAATGTAACAATTTACATAATACCTTTAGAAGCCAGGCTGGCATTTAATAAGCCTTCATGAAGTGATAGCTACTTTTATATAATAATAGTAATAGTAATTTATTATTTTAATTAATAATTTAAAATAATAGTATTATTATTATTATTTTAATTATCAGTGACAATCCACTCTGTCTATGGACCAAAGTGGGGAGGAGGAGCGTTGATCAAGGGCCCATATCGTGCATTTTCTGAAACTTTTGCCCCTTCAAAATTTTGTCATCCACATCCATGCTACTCTGAACAAGCCCAATCCTGTCTGATCTTGAAAGCTAAGCAAGGTCGGGCCTGGTTAGTGCTTGGATGGGAGACCACCTAGGAAGACCGGGTGCTGTAGACGTAAAAAATAAATAAAAAATAAAAAAATAAGGGATTGTAAGCTGACAAGTTCCTTGCAATCTGTGAGGCCAAACAAGGGTTGCCTCACCTAAAAAATAAAAAATTTAAAAATTTTAAAAAATAAAATTTTGTCCACTGGAGTACCGAGGAAAAATCTTCACATCAAGAGTGATTAATGTATATATAATTTTTTTAAACCCGCTGATATCAGGGGTTTTTTGAATCTAGAATGAGTTTCAATAATATAGAAATTCCCACATTAGGTCCCAAGCCCTGTGGGCAGGAGGATATCAAGTATCTGCAGACCACCTGGCTTCCCCAGGGGAGCAGTAATCTGCTCATTTTAAATCCAGTTGGACTGGGAAGGCTTGACATAGAAGCCCAGCAGTGCAGATAGTGAGACCAGAAGCTTACAGAGGAAGTCCTTGTTTTCTAGGCAGTGAGCATAGATCCCACGGCATCCCCACAATACTTCTCTTAAGATAGCTAAGACACCTCACAACTGGCTCACACAACTGAGTGGTCCCTACTTTTCCTCCATGCTGAGAAGGCTGCTAAAAGCAATGTCTCTCTCCAGACAAACTATCCATTCCCTCTCTATGTCAGTGAGTTTGGTAGAAAATACATTCAGAGATTGGATCATCTCCCTTCCTGCAAAATTTTATTCCCATTTTCCTCCTCTTCTTTGGGTTTTAACACGAGGAAAGCTTCCTTAAGGTGATGCTTACAAAAATTAAAATGCCTGAATTAACAAAAACATGCACACACACATACATGCATACACATATGCACACACACCCAGTTCATAAGCAAATGCTCAAATAGAAGAGCAAGGAAACTTGATATCACTGAAACTAAGTCTATTGAGATATTGTTGATTAAAACTTTTCAAAAACTTTAGACATAAAGGCAAAGAAGTGGAGAAATCCTTACCTCATGGTTGCAATGAATTAGGCAGCAGATCTGCAGTATTTTGGTGTGCTGGATGGACTCCTCTGAGATCTGGCTAGCCTGTCTTGTGGATTTTCAGGTAATTCTAAGCACCAGAACAAGGCTATATAAGGGAGATAAACAGCACCTTATAAGGTAACCTGTGGGTATGCAAGAACAAATTGGAAACCCAGATGAACACTAAAAGCAGAAAGTGAAACTGAAGTTTTCAGGCTTCCTGCTGGAGGAAAACGAAACTTAAACAAGTGATTCCTTTCTTTGTTTTGTTTTGAAAACTGATCAAGGAGAAGCTTGTGAAAAGCAGTTTTAGTGATGGGCTGATTCCTCTCTCAGAGTCTACTTTGTACAAACCTGAAAGCTAGCTAAATGTCAGTTATGTAGAGTCCACTGAACCTGGAGCCAAGGACACCTGTGAAAGTTGTCTGTGTGCACTTGCCAAGGTCATGCCCTAGATCTGTGCTTCTGTTTGCTTATCTGGAAACCGAAATTGCTTGTTTTGTGGTATAAAAGCCTGCAAATCTCTAAACTGGAATCTTAATCCAACTTTGTTCCTACTTTCTGAGAGCACGTATCTTACTAATTCTTCTGTGCCTTTCTAGACCCTTCTGGAGAATGGTCGATGACAATAAGAGGCCTAGAATTTCTACACATAGGAGCAGAGAAAATATATGTGCTACCCTCTTGAGACTTCAAACAAAATATGTTAGGCCTAAATAACAATATATTCTTATTTTTAATACTCTATTATAGTTATCTAAAGTGGTCTTATTCACCAGACATGATTGTCATACCTATGTAAGAGCACTGTCCAGTCTTCTCTGTGTCCACGGCACCCAGGCTTGGCCAATCCCAACCTGGCCTGTGTCATCTTTTGTACTCATGGTGTTTGTGGGGAGAGGTGGAGAAAAACAAGTGCTGAGGGGCCAGTCTTGGACAGAGGTTAGTCTCCTATTACCGGTGTCTACCGAGCTCCTGTTACTTCCTATTTTTCATTGGAAATTGCCCCACTCTCCTGATACCTGTAGTAAAGTGGTAATTCCCCAGCAGCTTTTGCAAACCAAATTTATCCCAATCATAGTTAATTTAATCACAGGGACGTGCTTATTGAGAGTAAACAATTAGACTTGCTTCATTGGAAAGCTGATTCTGGGAAGTGTTGGACCTGTAACATAAATATTTGGATACCATTGTCAGCCATGTTTTTCCATGTGGCCTGAAAATAATGCAAACAAAGGAAGCTTAGTCACAGAGAAGAATATCAAGTAGTTGAGCTGACAGAAATAGAGAATTTGAGATAAAAGATGGAAAGTTCTGATGGTATCTTTTGTCCACAGTTTCATCATCAAGAGTCACAGGGCAAAGACTATGTGCTATGTCTTAGGAGGTTTCCAGGTGAGTTCTGAATTGTATGAAACCAGATTACCAATCACTGGACCTATGATGGGTGTTCCTAGTGCTGTAGAAACATAGCAACTGGCCAGGGTTGGGAACCAGATCTGCCTCCTACCCTGAAGGGGAACCTCAGTCCAGCGTTGTCTGTCATGGAGGTTGGTGACTGGATTCCAGATGACTGTGCAGAAAAGGAAGAATTCAGGGAGGTAGCCTCATTTTCAGTTAGTCTCCTATACATGGAAGGAATCTACTATAATCTAAATATATGATATAAAATAAAATTATTCCTAATTAAGTGACCAGGATACTGGTTGTTACTTTGGGTTTAGGCTTGAAAGAAATAAATGACCCACCTGGTTCAGGAAAGAAGGAAATAAACCAAATACCAAGAGAGTCTCTTAATATCTGATTCCTTGGGCAGAAGGTCAAAGCAAGGTGCCGTGGATTGGCATAGAGAGCTTTCTATTTCTCCAGCATGGATACCCACATCCTGAGTCAAATTCTAACTCAATCTTAGCTATACTTCATGGAACTTGAGTTTAAATAATTAGCAACTATCTGGCACATAGGAGCATCTAAATCAGAGGTTGTGGTTATTATTATTATTTATCATCACCATTGTTATTAATATTATCATTATAAGTCATCGAGTTAAAGTAATGTTTTCTTTTTAAAAAGCCACCTATACTTTGTCTTTTAAAATAAACAGAAGAGGAGCAGTTGCAAGAATATTTTCGTGTTACAAACACTTAATCAGACACACTGCTAGATCTAAAGATTTTCCACTCAATCCCTCCTGCCCAGATCATCTCCCATCTCAGCCCTCATCAATTCCATAAGCTTCCACCGAGACATTGTTACTAAATGCAAGGGGTTCATCTCTTGGTGAGCGTAACCCAGTGAATCTCAACCAAGACAGTATATGAGCAAAGAAAGTTTATTACTTGCAGCAAATAAAGAGAGTACTGGGGTTATCTCCCAAAGTGATGTTCCCGCAAATAGACAAAGGGAGTCACCATTACTGGGACTAATTATGCATATTCATCAAAAAGGGACAGGTTATTATATGTAGGGGCTAGGTCATTCTAGCACAGGCACAGTAGGGAATCATGCTTTATCATACATCCCCCGGGTAGAAATGGATAAACTCTGCCTGGGGAGGAGAATTTAGTATTTTAATGAAGAAGGGTCAGTCTTTGTTTTTTTTTAGGCATCCTTATGCGGTTTCAACAGGAACAAGGTGTGGTCAGTCATTCAGGTAATGTCCTTGTTCTACAAGACAGATCAGCAAAGACTTAAATTTCACAATTCAGCAACTCTTTTAATCTCCTGTTTACAACATCCTGAACTAGTCAGGAAGTTCTGCACAAGTAAGAGTTTCTGAATAAATAAGCCAGGTTTATACATGTAGTCTGATAAATGTTCAGGCTATAAGCAAGTGCTTAAATAAATGAACTAGAAAACCTCTCTTTTTTGGGAACAAGGTGTCTTTGGAATTCTTGGGGGGAAAAAATTGGAAATGTAATTTTCCAGCGCATTAGATAGAATGCAGAGAGAGGCAGACAAATGTTTGTCTTATTATTGCTGTGAATTGGGCAGTGGTCTCAGTTCTACAGGGCTCTGACTTTGGCTGAGTAGGGATTCAGAATTTTGACCAGTGCTTCTTTGCGGGTAAACAGGCCCATGAGCGACACAGAGCATAATTAAGGAGAGAGAAAAAGGCAGCAAAATATGTGTGTGTGTGTGCGTGTGTGTGTGTGTGTGTGTGTGTGCGCGCGCGCGCGCGCTTACTGGTGACAATGAAACTTTTAGAAAAAATAATTTCAGCACTGAGCTATGAGTCCATTCCCAGGAGTCTAAGACCAGCTCCCTGAGTGACTGACCAGCATAATAAGCCATTTCACCTCTGTGAGCCTCACTTTCTTCAGCTGATAAACAAGTGATTCAGAATAGGTTATCAGATCTCAACCCCTACTGCATACTAGAATCATCTAGGGAGGTTTTAAGAATAGTGCTAACTAGGTCCCATCCCAGACCAGTTGAAATCATCTCTAGGAATGGGCCCCCAACCTCAATAGTAAAAAGAAATCTTCAGGTGATTTTGATAAACACGTGGGCTAGAAACAGAGCCTTGATGATCCCTAATGTCTATCGTGTAACTGAAATTCTCTGAATGAATGATATGGGACTCGGTCTCAACATACTTCCTTTTGAGTAAGGCTCAGATTCAGTATCTTCATTACTCTGCCTTATTTCCCCACCTGCACAGTAGGCAATTAACTCCTCAGTCTCTTCCTGATCCAAAGAAATGGGACGGAAAAAGAATAGTTTTCACCACTGTGTAAAAAGTATACGCTTAGCTTTTGAGATTATTCCTAAATACTTCCAATCACAGAAATCAGAGACACCAGAAGTCCTTTGTTATGAATGGTCTGATGATTTTCAAATCTCCTCCTGAGTTTTCAAGGATCCACTCAGCCCACCTTGACCCACAGTGCGGCTTACTGTAACATATTCAAGTACTAACTGAATTTTCATCATTTCCTCTTCTACATTTCAGGGTTATTTTGAAGTAGTTATAGACTCGTAGGAAGTTGCAGGAAGAGTCTTTCAGCTACCTAAGAGCAACATCTTATATAACTATTGTACAATATCAAAACAAGGAAAATGACATTGATATAGTGTATATATTTAAAGATAAAATATATCATGAGTTAATTTTATATATTTAAGTTTATAAGATTTTTACTTACCCTAGTTGATCTCACATCTGTGTATCTTTTCTCCCAAACTGAATATCTCTTTTCTAAGCCATACCAACATTCATATGATCTATTCCACAACACACTGTCTCAGAATAACAAAATCAACAGAAGAGCCTCAAAATGATTGCTGAATAGTTTAAGATTTTTTCTATTTGCTGTTCTTTTTGTCCATAAGATATATCTTTCTAGAGATATAGTCGATTTATAGTGTATTAAAAATCACTGGGAATACTTCATATCTATGTGGTTTTATACTCTATCCCATATATATTTCAGTTTATTTGCCTCGGTTTGATTTAATTTTTAGATATTGTTTTTGACCTTTACATCCTAACATTTTATTATGAACATGGTCAAACAGAGAAAAATTGAGAGAATTTTACAATGAACACTAATATACTCACCACCTAGATTCTACAGTAACATTTTTCTTATTTGCTTTATTACACATCTATTCATCCACAATTTTTCTATTTGTCCTTCAATTTATATTTTTGTTGCATAAGAAGGCAATCGGTATAACTAATTGATAAAACATTTCAGCATGCCTATCGTTATGACTTTAATTACACCTTGTTTACAAGGAAAAAACAATATTCCTGCTCTAGTTGTTTTCTACTGGATAAATCCAATAAATCTAGGCGTTGGAGTCAGGCTATTTTGCTATTATAAATATGTGGGTGAGGGAAGGTTTCACTGAGAAAGTGGCAATTCAGCAAAGATGTGAACAAGGTAAAGGAATGAGCACTGTGAATATGGGGCTAGGAAAGAGCATTAGGCAGGGGAAACAGCGAAATCAAAGGCCTGGAGGTAGAAGCATAGCTGACCTGTGCAGATGGTGTAGTTGGAGTGAGGAAAGCAGGGGAAGTTATAAGACCTGAGGTCAGAGAGGTAACGTGGAGGTGGTGGGCCTGTAGGCTATTGTAGTCACAATACAATGTTTGTATATTATAGACATAGTCACAATGTTTATCTTAAGTGGGAAGCCACATTTTAGAAAAGGTAC